TAACTCCCGGCATCTCAACTCTAACTAGCTGCAGTTCACGTGCTCCATAGCTTGGGTTTCCCACACTGGAGAGTAGTCCTGTTGGAACTCACTCATCTTCAAAACAGAGCCTTAGGCTGGGCGCTGGTGGCTCACACCTGTAATCCTAGCTACTCAGTAGGCTGAGATCTGAGAATCATGGTTCAAAACCAGCCCAGGCTAAAAAAAAAGGTCCATGTGACTCTTAACCAGCAAAAAGCAGGAGATGAGTTTGACTGAAATGTTAGAGCATCAGCCTTGAGTAAAAAGACTTAGTGACAGAACCCAGGTCCTGAGTTCAAGCCCTAGTACTGATGTGCGCATGCACACACACACACACACACACACACTAAAACAAACAACAAGAACCCCAGAACTTTAGGCCCGGGTTGTAGCTCAGTGGTACGGCACTTGCCTAGTGATGTCTGAAGTCCTGGGTTGCATCCCAAACAACAAAACCAGCACCTTCACTCAGATTTAATATTTAGCCACGGTTGGCAAAATGATAGTTATTCGGCATCAAAAAATGGGGTGCAGAAACATTTGTAGTGCACATTTGCATCTGTTGCTTTGTGGGGAAATGTCTTGGATTTGGTTTTGATTCTGTCTCAAGAGGAGAGAAAGCTGCTCTTCGGCTGTTCCCTGTAAATCGGCCTCTCTGGGTTTCACAATGAGGTCAGTGTGGTGGTTTATGGGCTTTTCTTCAGGACGAGGGAAAGGAGACTGCATGTGCTTCAAGTGCTGCGTGCCTGTCTGTTTCTTGGCTCTTGTCTGTTTAATTATTTGAAGCTGGAACGACTTGATTTTAAAACAAAACATATGGGCTGGAGAGTAATTGGGAGGGCGTTTGCTGTGATGCAGCACTGAAGGTATGTATGCCGGAGCCCCTGCTCCACCTCGCTCTTTCTGCTGGCTGTAGGTACAGATGCTTTGCCTAACTTCAAGTTGCGTTCTCTTTCCAAGTTCCTTAAACCCTTTTGGAAAGGCGCAGCCAAAGCAGGAAATGGTGATTGTAAAGGGAAATCATCTCTAGGTCTTTTGTTGACATCTGTATTTTTAGTTTATTTTTGTTAACCTGCTCTTCTTTGTGGAAAACCAGTGGTCGGTCTCCAAGCTATTTGGTATGATTTGTGAAAGCAAAATGTGTTTTGCAAAGTGCCAAGAGGAGAGAGAATTTTATGTAAAGAGGAAAAAAAAATTGATCCTCCACCTTACCTGATGCTCACCGTTCTTCCTTGTATGGGATTCTATCACTTGTGTCCCCCCCCCCCAGTCCTTTTTGCTTTAGTTTATTTTCCAGGTAGAGTTCTATGATTTTTGCTTTTTGTATGGGGCTGGTCTAGGACTGTGAACTGTATATCTCTACCTCCCCTGGAACTGGAATTACAGGCAAGTTTACCACAGCTGGCTTCTTTTTTGACATAAGGTCTGACTCGTCCCCCACCCCCCAGTTTGGCCTTGAATCATGGTCCTCCTATCTAGGCCTCCCAAGGATTATAGGCCACTGCGCCTTGTTCTACAACTGTTGAACACATGAGTTTTATCTCTTTTACCTCTTCAACTTCTCCTTTTCTTGCTAGGGGCAGGAGATATGATGTCCTGATTATATCCTGTATAATTTGAACCTGAATGCCACAGTTTTTTGCTTGGGGGATGGATGCCTTTGTTAAGCAAATCTTTACGCCCTCACTTAGTAGTCATGTGCCAAGAAACAAGTTCTCAAAACTCTCTGAGCCTCATTTCCTACTTTCTTAAAAAAGGGGTAACAATCATGCCGATTTCAAAATAAAATTGTTGTGCAAAACTTTATTCTTTAATTGTTATCCTTCTTATTACTTTTAAGCGGTGGTACAAAGCCATCGGGAGGGATGGGTGAGAATGTTGGAAGGGGTGATATTAAACAAGATATGCTGTACTCATAAGCCGACATGTTGGGTTGTAGTCCCTTTGTTGTGAAAACTTTCAAAGAGACATTGCCAACAAAGTTCTGAGCACCGTGCATGATATGTAATAAACACAAGAACTTTACAATTGTGTGGGGCCTCCGCAGTAACACACATACTCTCTTCAACAACAAGAGGGATTGTTAACCACAGTGGCCTATGCCACCCACCCCACCCAGAGAACCGCACAGGTGTCTAGGAAGAGCTTTAGCACTGGAAATCACATGAGATGAGAACTGGGAACATGAGAAGGTCTGAGCCTGAATGCCGGTGGCTCACTTGTCAGTTTCCCAGCGTCTGTAAACATGACTAATCTGCTGCATTGTTTTGGTTTTGTGCTTTGCTTGTGTTGTTGTTTGGGGTCTGGAAAGTCATGTGAAATCTTATTCTGGTCAGTGTAGTGGAAAGGCAGGTCACAGTGTTGCTGTCAAGATGTTGAAAACAAAAAATCTTTAACTTGGCAGACAGATGTGCCCGTACACCCCCCCCCAACTCCATAGGGACAAGGGTGGGGAGAATGGAGTGGGTTTTTGCCAAACCAAAGACATAATGAAGCTCTTCTATACCCAGGTGCAGAACAGATCACGTGCTGTTGTCAGGGAAGTTCTGTTTGTTAAAAACACCGCGTCTCAGAGTGGTTAGTTGGCTTTCTTAGTCCCTTTTATAACTGTTCTAGCCATTTTCCCAGCCCTGCTTGGATTTATTTGTTTGTTTGTTTACATATTTATTATGCCAGTACTGGGCCTTGAACTCAGAGTCTGGGAGCTGTCTCTTAGCTTTTTCACTCAAGGCTAATGCTATACCACTTGAGCCACAGCTCCACTTCCTGCTGTTAACTGGAGATAAGAGTCTCATGGACTTTCCTGCCTGGGCTGGCTTTGAACCATGATCCTCAGATCTCAGCCTCCTGAGTAGCTAGGATTACAGGCGTGAGCCACCAGCCCTGAGCCCCTGCTTGGATTTATTATGGGCTAATCCATCAGGGACTCCTTGTAGTGCATGGTAAGAACCTGGCCAGATAAATGGTTTTCAGCTTTCCCTGCAACTGTAAAGAATAAATAACCACCCTCCCTCTCGTGGTCCCTGCACATGCTCTCAGTGGACAGCTTTTCTGACATTTAACTTAATCAAGATGTTAGCAAAGTAAACAGTATGGGCTCTTGCCTCCAGACTGAAGCTGCTGTCACTCTGCCCACCTGCCCTTCACTTCAGTGTTTGTGAAGGAGATTCAGACTTGCTCTTGAAAGAGATGAGGTGTAGGATCTACTTTCCTCCGTGGCCAGCGATGCCCTCATTATTTGGCTCTCAGTGAGTGAACACTTCTGTACCATGTATCTCAATCGATGTCTCAGGAGATCTGCTATCATTTGAAGGACTATCAAGGGAACAGAATCAACTATATAGTGAGATACCATAATATTAAAACATGGCCAAATTTGGGGCTGGGAAGGTGGCTCGGTGGCAGTGCTTGTCTTGCCATGCATGAGGCCCTGGGTTCGATTCCTCAGCACCACATAATCAGAAAGAGCCAGAAGTGGCGCTGTGGCTCAAATGGTAGAGTGCTAGCCTACAGCTGAAGAGCTGAGGGACAGCACCCAGACCCAGAGTTCAGGTCCCACAACCAACAACAACAACAACAAAATCTAGATTTAAGAGATGTTAAAAATGTAGAGGAGAGCCAGGTGCTGGTGGCTCACACTTATAATTGTAGTTACACGAGAGGCTGAGATCTGAGGATTGAGGTTCAAAGCCAGCGCCCAGGCAGGAAACTCGGTGAGACTCTTATCTCCAATTAAACATCAGAAAACCGAAGGTGGAGCAGTGGCTCAAGTGGTAGAGTACTAGCCTTGAGGAAAAAGAGCTCAGGGACAGCGCCCAGATCCTGAGTTCAAGCCCCATGGCCAACTTAAAAAAAAATTGTAAAGGTAAAACAGATGGGATCAGCAAGAGTTCATTAAAATGTCATTTTCTCAGTCATCAACTGCTTCTGTCCTGTCCCCCACCTCATCCGTGCAGCTAATTGGCAGAGGGTAGGCTAGGTAGGCAAGGATGGCTTGAGCCCCTGCAGGGCTGAGTGTTTGTTCAGCCCTGCCTGTTGAGGCATGAAGTGAGAACACTGAAGGCTCATTAGCAAGAAGGAAAAGTTCTCTGCACTGTAACTTAAGTTTCTGGCAAACAAGAATCTAGGATGTTCTTTGGATCACAATGAACTTCATAAGACGCTTGGTCCTTTTGGTTTTGTACTTGTACTGGAGCTTGAGGTCAGGGCCCGGGAGCTGTCCCATTGCTTTTTCACTCAAAGTTGACACTCTACCATTGAGCCACAGCTCCACTTTTGGCTTTTTGGTGATTAACAGGAGAAAAGAGTCTCAAGAACTTTCTCCTGCCCAGGCAGGTTTTGAACCTCAATCTTCAAATCTCAGCCTTTTGAGTAGCTAGGACTATAGGTATGAGCAGCTGGTCCCCTGCTTCTTGCTCCTCTTGAAGGAGTGAGGAAGAGTTTGCTGACGGACATGAGACTCCTGTACCCCCTCTTAACCTCTTCAAAATGCACAGCCTGTGTGTCCATTTGCTAATGATCGCTGGAGCCACTCACTTCCTGCTCTTCTACCTTCAAAGGCATCCTGCATCCTGCATTATCAATAAATTTTCATTTCACTCAAGATTCTACTGGATTAATGTTCTTCATAATTTGAATGGCTTCTCAGCACCCTAGTGTCTCCAATCCTCCTTAGTTCTGTAATAAGTTTAGGTAGAGTGGTTATGATAGTTCTATTCCTCTAAAAGATACTTTGGGGGCTGGGATGGAGCCCAGTGCCAAAGCGCTTGCCTAGCAAATGTAACATCCTGGGTTTGATCCCCAGTACCAAGAGAAACGACAAGAAAAAAATACAGTTAAAAGATGATTTGGGGGTTTTAGAAAAAGCTGCTTCCCAGGTAGGTAAAATGACAAGAGTTCATTGAAATCTTTCTTTTGTATATGTATAAAAAACCATGGTGTTTAGCTTATACTTACACCGCTTTCTTTTTTTCTTTTAGTTTTTGGGAATAACATTTCTTGGAATTGGACTGTGGGCGTGGAATGAAAAAGTAAGTTGAACATCACAAACACATGTATGTTGGTCCACAGCTGTATGTATGTCTCCTTTTGCCTTTGACCACCTCAGGGTGAAAAGAAACATGGATCTTTTCATGAAGATTGTGTTCTTGGAAATTAAATGTGGGGTTCTAAAGGACTTTAGCATTCTAAAGAACTGTGGATTCTAAACTGTCTAAACAGGTCCGAAAACAGTAACAATATTCATTACCATAGAGAATGTGGCTGGAATTTGATGAGTTAGCTAGAGATCTATATTTTTAGTGATATTTCCTCACTCAGGCCCAAGAATTTCAGTAATGTTTATAAAGATCATACACCTGTTTTGTTGTGTGTGGGGGGGGATCTCCACTTTGGAAGATAATTCAAGCCATAATAAATATATTTTGTATAGTACATTATCTTTTAGCCTGTTAGACATAGCATAAAGGAAGCCAGACATACATTCATGTTTGAATACTAGGTAAATGCACCCTTCATACTAATTGTAAATACTAAGAAATATTCAAGACAGGTGGGTGGAAGGATGGTGGGAGGGGTAGCATTGATCAAGATGCATTGTACTCATAAACTGATCGGTTGCATGGAAACCCCTTCATACAACTACTTTTTTTTAAAAAAAGAGAAATATCCCAGGCCCAACATGTTGGCTATTCAATATGCCTCTATGCATGTGAGGATTGAGGACCCAGAAAGCCCCAGGGCAAAAGCGTGAGACCCTATCTGAAAAATAAAAAAATGGCTGGAGGGCATGTCTCAAGTGATAGAGCTTCTGTTTTGCAAGCAAAGTGGCTGGTCCAAACATTGTGGTAAAAGGAAACATCTGAAAATATGGGGTAGCATATCTAAGTCACAGTGATGAGCTGAGGTGAGCAGTTTCTGTTCTGAGGGACACTCTAAAGAGATGGACACCTTGTATTCATACCTCCACTACACTTCCTTGCCTTAGCTTTTAGGTTTTTTTTTTTTTTTTTTAAATCCTGTTCACTTTCTCTGCTGGAATTCAAAAGTGACTAGAAGCTTCTTTTTGCTTCCTTGTTTGGAAGTAGAATCTCCTGCAGTATGTTTAGTCTCTCCAGGTATTTGGCCACAGGGTAAAGTCTCACTGTTTCCCACCTTGAAAGAGTGAGTGTTTGGTTTGGGTAAAAGTTCCAGTAAACTAAGAGGTCAGCTTAGCTTTTCCCAGAAGCCCATTCCCTTATCTCTGGAGCCTGCACCCTCCTGAGCAAAAGTCCTTTCATGTGATAAATGCTCTGAGGGCCATAATGTATAAACTGTAAAGAGAGAGAAACTAAGACAGCCCATCAAACCAACAAACAAAAACAATGACCAAAAAAACCCCTTCAGATCCTAGTGGGGATTTCTAAAATTATGTTCAGATAAACCACATAAAACAAAACACCAAGTAAATCTTGAGCTTTGAATAGGTGCCATTAGCTGAGTAACTAACTCCGTGGCAGAGCACCTTGTACTTTACAAGGCCCTGGGTTTGATCCCCAACATAGTAGAAAAAGAAAAGGACATGTGTTACTCCCTAGTTACTTACAAACTACTTCTATAACATTGATGGAAAATAAGCTTTCCTAGAAAGCCTGCAGCCTTTTGAAGCAGGACGCGATTCTGTATGGCATAAAACAAATTAAGTTCCCAAAACAGAGATATTTTTTTTCTCCATAAACTTTTACATTGAATGCTAATCTCTGGGATTATGATTAGCTCTTGTCTCATCCTGGTTAAGCTTGGGGATTTGTATTGGTGGAATCTCAGAAATTTCCCTTTTAGAAACTTTCCGCTTGGTTAACTGCCAGATAGAACAGCTTTTTAGAACTCTTTTAGTAAAAGTCCATTTCTCTCAGCTTTGAAGAAGATGCTAGAAGGCATTAAATGAATTAATCGTCTATTTTAGCAATAAATAGACATTTGAAAGGTTTTTGGTTATTTTCCCCCTCTTTTTGAAGTACAATTAACATCTTGTTATTTCATGGGCTGCCTCAAATGTCTCTGATAAAAAATGCATACTTCTAAAATGCGCGATGTGTCTCAAATATCAAGGGTAAAGGGGTGATAGTGCGGGGAGGGAAATGGACAGGCCCTTTTTCTTTTTTTTTTTTTTTGGGTCCGGTCATGGGGCCTGAACTCTGGGCCTGGGCACTGTCCTTAAGCTCTTCAGCTGAAGGCTAGCGCTCTACTACTTGAGCCACAGTGCCACTTCCGGCTTTTTTGTTTTTGCTAATGTGGTGCTGAGGAATCGAACCCAGAGCCTCAGGCATGCAAGGCAAGCGCTTTAACCACTGAGCCACCTTCCCAGCACTAGGCCCTTTTTCTTGATGGCTGCTGATAGTAAATAGACCAGCTCTCAAAAGATAGCTGATCTGACCTGGCCAAGATCATCCAGTTACTGTTTAGTAGAATGCCATGAGCAAGGGAAGTAAAGAAGGGGTTCAGCCATGAGACCACCTAGCTTGGGGAGCCTTGGCCTTAGTCATAGAATACAGCCAGTACATGGTGTAGGCATACATACAGCTAGCATGGCGTAATGGCCTCTGAGCTGGTCTGGACTTAAATAGGGTCAGATTAGGGGGCAGGGTCATAGGGAGCTTGAGAGTTCATGACCCAAGACTGACAAGTCCAGTGACCTATTGTCCGAGTCCCCGCCCCTGCCTCTAGGAATCCAGGCACACGTATCCATTGGGAGGTGGGACTTCCCTGCCTCCACCATGAAACAAGATGGTGCCAGTTAAACCCAATACCCTATCATCTACCATGTGGCCAAGACGGTGCCTAGCAGATCCAGCGTCCCTACTTCAAGGTCTGGCAAGAAACATTAGATATAGGGTCAGGCTTCTTAGTCGGAGGAGAACGAGTTTCTTTTCTATGGAGTTGTTGGCAGTGACCTCTCTGAGATGTGGCCCATGGGGTAGGGATCTGGGTAAAGGGAGAGAGATCTATAATGATTACATTCCAGGAAGAGGGAGTAAAATGTGTCCTGCTTGTGAATCAGGAAGTTCCTAGACTAAGATGTGTGGCTGTTTAAAGAACACTTGGAAGTCAAATCCTTGAACTAGGAACATGGGCGGGAGGGATGGATTTCCTTAATAGCTCTGGCTTTAACATAGGTGTGTGGACTACATACAGAGCGCTGGAAGCTTGCACTTATTAGCAATCACTTTTACAGAGCCCTAGTTGAATATTAGAAACGATTGTTAAGTAATTTTTATCTAAATTTGAAATAAATAGATCTTGAAGATGCAATTGCTGACCGTCTCGAGTGAAGCTGGAGTTTTTGCAGCGATCGTAGGATCTGCTGTGTGGAAGGATCATTGGCAATTCTGTAGCATCGAATCCTTCTGTAATATCCCCTGCAGCCTCAGCCCTAGTGAACTTGGTCATTCAAGTAGCATTTATTGAGCACATAGCATGTGATAGGCCTTGTACTGGGTCTGGAAGACAAAGATGAACCGACATAATTCAGTCCTTGATGAATTTACCTGGTCATAGAAAGGATCGTATATGCATTTTATGTGTATATGCATATACGCAGGTGTGAATATCTGCATATATACATAAAATGCTTTCATTCACTAATATATCGCAGTAAATCTAGTCGAGTGAGTTTGTGTTTCAGTTGTCTCTTTGGGTTGCTCTCCCTGTTGAAAAACGTTCAGCACATTAGAATCGTGTACCATGAATTTTCACTCGTGAGTTCTGAGTCTTTCCCATTGCATCCCACAGAATAAGTCTTTCCACATGTGAGTATTTTAAGGTGGTGGTCTGTTTCCTTTGGAGTTTCCAGGCTAAACATCCTCCCACTGGGTGGTCCTCACAGGCTGTGGGCGGGAGGGAGATGCTTCACCATCCTGGTGGTTCTCTTTTGACAGAACGCATGGGAGCCATAGAAAGTATGAGCGGGCTGTGTGCCTTCTCCCCCGGTTGAAGATGCCTTGACACCCACAGTCAATCACTAAGTGCATGGTTCACTGAAAATCCTATCTTAGTCACCAGCCAGGCTGCTTTCCCTCATCCACCTCACGTCCGGCTGATTTTCTAAGTCAAATGCAAGACTGCGTATTTGCCCAGTGGTCTGTCAGGCCATCTCTCCACCCTCTGCGATTACTCTAGAGCCTGAACCTGTCATCTGCCAGACTCCCTTCTCCCCTCTGTGTGGCTTCGGCTGTCTATATCGATCAGACTCCTCCTTAGGTGCCTTGCCAGTAGAACGATATTCCAAGAGCTCACACATACCTGCTTTTCCTATTGCACAACGCTGCTAGCATCTCAGACCTCTAAATTGGGGGAGAGCAGATCTCAGCTAGGTTGGAACCTGCGCCCCTAGTATCATTCCTGCCTTCTAAATTCATATCTTGATTCTGACCCCCATTGGAATTCCAGATTGGTTGTATACCCAGTTGCCCACCACATGATGAGAATTAACTTAAAATGAAAAGGAACATATCCGAGACAATCCTCCAGGTCCCCCCACTCCCCAGCAACCCTGCTCTTCTGAGATGGCATCTAGCTCCTTCCGCCTGCTCAGGTCATCTTGACACCTTCTTTCTTTTCTTCTAGGCCCACTTTCACTCAGTCAGCAGATGCTAGACTTGTTTCTTGTGTGCACCTCCACTCTTCCACCTTGAGCTCACCATCGTGTTGGCCTTCCTGCCTTTGCGTGACGCCTTCCCATTATTGATTCCGCTCTGCCTCTGCTCTTGTACCCCGGTCCTAGCCCAGGCCTGGCTGCAAGCTGTGGCTACATTCCTTGCCTTTTAAACATATAAGGCAGATTGTGTCACTACTTGCTCTAAACCCCCCAGTGAGCTCATCATCTCAAAGCCGTGGTGGTGACCGTGCCCTCGTCTCCCACATCGCTTTCTCCCCAATGCACAGCCCCCCACTCTCCATCTTGCCAGCATTCCACCACCCCAGGGCCTTTTAGCCATACTTCCAGTGCCTAAGCCACTCTTCTCCTGAGACCCAGATTCATACTTTCCTTCCT